TTATGTCAATCAATATGCTAAAAGGAAGATTATTTTTCTTCCTTAGCTAGCCTCCCTGTCTCAGGTGAGTTTTTGTTTTACTAAATCTAAATTATTGTAAAATTTATCAAATATTATGCCAATACAAATTATGTCAATCAATATACTAAAAGGAGGATTATTTTTCTTCCTTAGCTAGCTTCTCTGGCTCAGGTGAGAATTTTTACTAAATCTAAATTATTGTAAAATTTATCAAATATTATGCCAATACAAATTATGTCAATCAATATACTAAAAGGAGGATTATTTTTCTTCCTTAGCTAGCTTCTCTGTCTCAGGTGAGTTTTTTTTTAACTAAATGAAAATTATTTTAATATGTATCAAATACTATGCCAATACAATGTATGTGTCAATTGATATACTAAAATCAGACTTATTTTTCTTCTTTAGCAAGCTTCCTTGGTACAGGTAAAAAAAAATTTACTAAATATAAATTATTTTAATATTTCTCAAACTTATGCCAATACAAATTCTTTATCAATAAACTAAAAGACACTTATTTTTCTTCCTTAGGAGGCTCTCCTGTCCCAGGTAAAAATTTTTACTAAATAAAAATTATTTTAATTTATCTCAAATACTATGCCAATACATAGTCTATGTCAATCAATATACTAAAAGGAGATTTATTTTTTTTTCTTCTTTAGCAATCTTCCCCAGCACAGGTAAGATACTTTTAACTAAATCTAAATTATTTTAATTTATCTTAAATATGATACCAATACAAAATATATGCCAGTCAATATACTGAAGTCCTAAAGGGGGCTTAATTTTCTTTTATAGCAAGCTTCCCTGGTACTGGTAAGACTCTTTTTTAAATAAATCTAAATTATTTTAATTTGTCTCAAATGCTATGCCAGTAAAAATTCTGTATTATTCAATATGCTAAAGAATGTTTATTTTTCTTCCTTAGCAAGCTCCCCTGGCACAGGTAAGATTTTATTTTTTTACTAAACTTTTTTAAACACTATGTGTTTCTAAAACACTATGCCAATACATAGTCTATGTCAATCAATATACTAAAGAAGACTTATTTTTCTTTTTAGCCACCTTCTCTGGCACAGGTGAGACCTTTTTTATTTTTTTAATAAATCTAAATAATTTTAATTTATCTCAAAATACTATGCCAGTACAAATTCTACGTGGATCAGTGTACTAAAGTGCTAAGTGAGGTCCCTGGCACGGGTAAGATTTTGTTACTAAGCGTGAATTATTTTAACTTTTCCATTATGTTTTGCGTGATAATGAGACCCATACTATTGCTCTAGTTTTCAGGTTTCTTATGTTTAGAATAAATCCTACAGAAAACATTTATTTCACCAATACAAACATCATTACCCCTCTCAGAAATTAGCACAGTATTTTGTGTCTTACCTATGTATGCCAGGTTATGTAATAAACTGTGAAGATTTTAGCAGCATCCTGGTTTTGCATAGGGTTGCCAAACTACTTCATAGCATCTATCACAATCTCTAGATAAAATCAAGTGCATAATAATTGTTGGCTATTCTTAAATGAATAAAATCAATATACTGGAAGAAACAAAAATGTTTTTTTTACTTTAGCAATCTGTCTTTTCCCAGGTGAGATAAATGAGTAAATTCAAAATATTTAAACATTTATGTGTTACATTTTTACATCAAATACTTTTTTTTTAAAATATAGAAACATCATCCAAGACTGAGCCAGCTCTACTATCCAAATATGGTAATATTTTACTTGACATTTACCAACGAAAAATATTAATAATGATTACAAATAGGCATCAAAAGAAAATATAGTCTTAGTAAATGTATATGCTTTTATTTCTCCCAGAGAATAAAATTTATTTACTATTTATTTTTCTAAACTCTCACAAATTTAACCTTAGCTGACATTTATTTATACATTCTAAATATAAACCGTTGATACTTTTTTCAGTAATCTGAGCATAAAATTAATACTGTGTACAAGTTTCTTTGATGGTGTATAGTCAATTACTTGGATGTAGAAATCCAAATTACTTGGATGTACAAGTTTCTTTGAATGGTGATCTATTCATTGTAGCAAGCACGGTAGTACAATGTCAAATATCGCAGTAATCTAGAATATGTCTTCTTTAATACAGGAACAGCCTTACGGGATGAATGTATACAGCCAAGTTCAAATGGTAGTATTTCTTCTGTATTCTGAGATATTAATCTCTTATTAAGTCTTTGCTTTAAAATAGCTTCATATTCTTGAATAGATTCTTCTCTCTGTCTCTCTGTCTCAGTCTCTTTCTGTGTCTCCATTTCTCTCTCTCTCTCTCTCCCTCCCTCC